TAACTGTGCTGTAAAACGCCCCACAGGCTCTATAGTGGAGGATCCATCCTCTCCAGAAAAAACATGAAAATCTGGTGGCCTGTAATTCCTTGGGAGAGGATATTCATTAATAATTCTTTATGGAAAAGGTCTTTGATAAGCAGGTCGGTTGGCCATCTGAGGATTTAGACCAAACTGAACCCTCAGAAGGTGAGCAATTTCATCGCCCAAACGAAAATGTTGATGATCAGGAATATCAATGGGATTTTGCATAGGAATAATGATAGGATCTTGCACATGTCCCCCTGGCCTTTCCTCCCTTGTTATGTCCGGCCGCACATTCTCAACCCTTGGTCCCAAAGGAATATTATTTGGAAAAGTCAGAGCAGTCTTTCCCCTATCTGTTCGGTTGAACGTTGTGGCGCTTGGAAGTGTGTTGTCCACATATGATGGACCTGCAAATTTTGCTTGCATTCTTGATGGTGACACCCCTGGCGGCGTCTGGGAGGGTTGAAGAGTAACCCTTGATAATGCTTGATCTAACATGTTCTGCATAAGATTTTGTTGCTCGCGCAACATGTTCTGTATAACCGAAGTTTGCTGATTGTTCATTTGTTGAACATAAGACAATCAATCGTTGGTGGTTGGGGAATCTCCCCTGAATTTGGCATGACACGTGGTGAAATATTTTCTCCCACCGGTGCTGATGATGATTGAGGTTGTGAGCCTGCCATATCGATCTTTCTGATGATTCGGCCAGACCTCAGTCGTATGAAATTCTCTGATAATGCAGGATCAGCAATCTTGCATGTCTCCCACTGTGGTCGCCAATTTGTTGATGTATTTTTTCAACAAACAAAAAATAAAATTCAAAGATATGGAAATATCCTTAAATTTGATTAATTAGTGCCTGAGATTATGAATCTCTAAACATTGTATGGTACATAAGAAAATTAACTAGAAATTATTATGCTGGAAATTTAAAGTGGTGATCCCCGAATCTGACTTTGCTTTTGTCGAAGTTGATTGAAGATGAATTGCCAGTTACAAATTTTAAGCCTTAAATAGTCTTCAGAAACGATACTGGAAACCGTCGCCCGAACGGTTATAACGCTTCTTTTCAACCGTCTGCTAACCCCTCTTCTGCTGACACGTGCCCTCAGCCGACCGAAATTATCATTCTCAACAATATCCGACTCTTTGGACCGACCGCAGACCTTCCGCCCTTTTGGTCCGACCGCAAACCTTTCACCCTGTTGGTCTGAATTGTTTGGTTCAGCCGCAAACCTCCCGACTTACAGACCATCCGACTTGTTTGGTCCAGCCGCAAACCTCCCGACTTATAGACCATCCGAATTGTTTGGTCCAGCCGCAAACCTCCCGACTTATAGTCCATCCGACTTGTTTGGTCCAGCCGCAAACTTCCCGACTTATAGACCATCCGACTTATTTGGTCCAGCCGCAAACCTCCCGACTTATGGACCATCCGACTTGCGGACCTCCCGACCTGCGGACCTTCCGACCCGCGGACCTTCCGACTTGTGGACTTTCCGACCTGCGGACCTTCCGACCTGCGGACTTCCCGACCTGCGGACTTTCCGACCTGAGGACCTTCCGACCCGCGGACCTTCCGACTTGTGGACTTTCCGACTTGCGGACCTCCCGACCTGAGGACCTTCTGACTTGCGGACCTTCCGACCTGCGGACCTTCCGACCTGCGGACCTCCCGACCCGCTATTTCCTTAGAAATGCATCTATTTTACCTGAGTTCCCCGCAATGCCCCTCGACCAGCTCGATCATCTCGATTGTTAGGCCCATTTTTCTTTTTCCCTTGGGCTTTTTAACCTAATTCTAAATTTCATGGATAACACATATAATTTGAAGATAAACATACTGCCTCATAATCAAAGCGATAGTGCTGCTTCAACTAGTGCTCCACATATGGCTTTCTCAACTTCTACTGATCCAACACATTTTCCTCCGAGACCAACAGCAAGTCAGCAATACCGTTTCGCTGCACCGCATCTGAGATATTAACAATTCACCGCACATGGTGTAGTGTTCCTTTCCGTCAAGATAACTTTTCAGGATCTGTCCCGCCAAGCTTTCCTGCAGTCGGAGTACCTAATCCATCACGGCCTCCTAGGAATGATAATATGTCTTCAATGGGGATATCTGCACCCAACTTTTTTTCTTCAAATCCAGCTGCTGACTATCATAATGCAGCAGACTCAGTGCAGTCCATGTCGAGTGCTAACCAGGCAAGACCGAATACATTTTGGAAATATTGCATTTGGTGCAAGACACACTTTGAGTACCGAAATTTGTATTTGAACAAGAATCTGGGGTGTCCTCGGTGCAAACTGTTAGCAGAGCAAGAAGAGAAATGCACAACGAAGAAAATGCGAACAAGAACAAAGGAGAAATTTTATTTCTTCTATTAAATATATTACAATAAATATAATACAATAATTACTAAATATTAGAAATTCAACTTTTAAACCAACGGTTGCAACTCTTATATATAACTTAATACAACTCTTAAAATATATGCACATATTATTTATTTAATAAGAATAGTAATTTGAAACACTTACTAAACAGTCCCCCTTGCTTCAAAGCTTGTGACTCCTGTACGCATCCTGAAATATGTTGGAATTGAGGAGTTGTGGAAGAGACTTATAATAGAGAGAAATTTTATTAGAAAGGAACGTTGATGTTCCTTATTTTTCAAACGCTTATACTGCATGGGTATAGGAAGCTTATTTGTAATAGGTATTAATACATTTAGAAATAGTAAAAGTTTGTTCTTAAATCTTCAATGCCTTGAGAATTGGTGCTTTGGAATTCTTATTCTTTTTATGGGGAGGGGTTTTCCTTTATTTAACTAACATATTTTTGTTATTACAAATTATATCTAACACCCCCTCTTAATTTGAAATTCCAATATATTTCTTGAACCGTTGAAGCTTCTCTTCGGTGACTGCCTTCGTGAGTGCATCGGCAAGCTTTGTGTGGTCCTAACATGCTCCAGAAATATTTCTTTTTCTTGCACCTTTGTACAGATATAATGATGTCTCAACTCGATGTGTTTTGTTCTTCCATGAAACATTGGATTCTTTGTCATGGAAATTGTTGTCATATTATCATAGAAAATTAGAGTGGGTCCATCGACTCTGTAACAAATCCTTTAAAATTCTTCTTAGCCAAACTGCTTCTCAAACCTCTTCATTCACGGCAATGTAATCCGCCTCTACAGATGACATAGCAACTGAAATTTGCTTCTTTGAACTCCACAAAATTGATTTTGATCCAAAGCAAAAAATGAATCCCGATGTCCTCTTCCTATCATCTTGGCTTTCAGCCCAATCACTGTCCCTGAATCCAAGCAACTCATTGTTCTCCTCCCTCGAATATTTGATGCCAAGATGTTTTGTCCCTTGAATGTAACGGATAATCCGTTTTGCAGCCGCAAAATGTGACTTGCTTGGATTGCTCATAAATCTGGAAATCAAACTTACAACATGTGAGATATCCGGCCTTTCGTGTGTTAGGTAGATGAACGATCCGACAAAGCTCCGATAAATGCTTGGGTCGAATTTTTCTGCACCATCATCAAACATTAATCTTTCGTTTAGGGCCATCGTTGTTGCAGCAGACTTGCAATTCTCCATTCTAAACTTCTTTAGCATGTCTGCAGCATACTTCTCCTGAGAGATGAAAGATACTTTCATTTTATGGCCTTACTTGAATGCCGAGAAAATTCTCCATCATTCTGAGATCTGTCATTTCAAACTTTCTCATCATCGCTTCTTTGAACCATTTTACAATTCCATCATTTGTTCGTGCATAGATTAGATCATCGAAATATAGGCAAACCATAAAAAAATCACTCTCACTTTTCTTCACGTAGAGAGATGGTTCATAAGGAATTTTCATAAATCCATTTTTCCGAAAATATGCATCAATCGTATTGTTCCAGCATCTCGGCGCTTGCTTCAGCCCATATAGTGCTTTGTACAGCCTATACAGTTTTTCCTCTTTGCCTTTAGCTTCAAATACTTGTGTGGTTTTTTTACGTACACCTCCTCTTCTAGTTCACCATTCAGAAATACAGTTTTTACGATCAAGTTGGAACACTCTCAACTCCAATTGTGCTACAATTACATTTCTGTAATAATATTTATGAAAAATTATTCAATCGAGAAATGCTAAGTGAACAAATTGATTGTACATTTGTCATAGCATAGGCGTATTTGGTTTGGGTTTCATGCCCAAATGTTTGGTATTTAGCCTCTAGTGTTTATAGGATTCCTAATAAAAATATATTATTATTTTTTTCACAAAAAGTATCGCATCAAAATGTTATCTAGCAAATTCAAATCAAAATAAAAAAAATTTGTATTGACAATATCAGCTTATATTATAGGAAAATAAATCATATATAAATACATTTACTATCTTAATATAGTTTAACAATTTGGGCACTTACTATCATTTTGATAAGGAATAAAATGTGTGTTTTATTTAGGTTTGAAATCTAAATCCTCATTCCCCAATCTATATGATTTTTAATAAAAATATATTATTTAATTTCACAAGATATTCATACAAAATACTACTTCCATAAAAAAAATATTTAATCACACTGGCATTAATTCGGGAGACCAAGTTTATTATTTATTTTTAATAACTATATAATAATATAATTTAAATTAAATATAATTATATTGGAAAATATACTTATTATTATATAAAATAAAAATTATTATTTGTAATATAAATATGTATAGTTATAATATTTTAATTGTACATTAAATTTCTCTATAACACTATAATTATAGATAATAAATTTATAATTAAATTTTAAAGTTTTTTGTAAATTTTAAAAACTTTCGGTACTAGATACAAACATAAATATACAAAAATAAAAATAAATAGTTATTATTATTATTACAAAAAAAAATTAATTATATAAATATTATTAAACAATTATTTTATTTTACCCTACTTTTTTCCAGCCCTACCGCCACGACACCCTTCTTCCTCTTTACCCTGCTTTTTTTCCAGCTGCTACCGCCGCCAAACTTTTCTTCCTCGTTCTTCAACTTCATTCTCCCTCCTCTCGTCTTATATTTCACCGTAGGTAAAGTCTAGCGTCATTTTTTCTTAATTCTTCTTTTCTTCTTTTATGATTTTCCATCTACAACTCTTTCTCTCCAGTGTGGGCCATTGGGTTCGGGGCGCAATGATTTTCCTTTCTTCTTCCCTTTTCCCTTGATGTAATGGAGATTCACCGACGACCACCGAGTTTGGGGGGCAGCGGACCCTCTGGGTTCCCACGTTGCTCAGCCCCTGGTTTGGAGGACTTGGAGGTTAATTGGTTCCATAGCTTAATTAATCATTGTGTAGCTGCAATCGTAACTAATAATTTAATTATCATTATTTTCATTATGTTTGTGATTTCAGGCTGACATTCAATTGCTATGTCCCAATACAATGTTCTACGATAATCCTTATACCATCTATCATAATCAGGTTTTCAGCCTTTCCTATGGATTAGGGTTTAGGGTTTGGAATGTGTGGTTGATATTGCATTCCATTTCTTTTGTTACTTTAGTAAAATGCTATGAAAAATAATGTAATGAATGTATTTAGGTCCTTGCCATACTAAAGCTAGCCGCGGAAGAGTTTGGAAGATTTAAAGATCATGAGGAAAAAGACAAAGTGAAGGTGAAGGATATGGAGAAGGATAAGGAGGTCGAATTGCAGTTGCTGCAAGCTGTGCAAAAAAGGTCATTAAAGTTAAAGGGCAAGAATCTGGCAAATGATGGATCGGAAACTGAAGACAACCAGGGAACAAGCTCTGGTGATTCTAATTTGAGAAAGGTGCCGACATTATCTAAACAACAACCACAACTGAGCTTCTCCCAGCCATCTGCTTATAATTGGAATGGAGAGTTTCCAGGTTTGTACTTTTTTGTGCTGCTTCTAAAATTTCATTTTCACATCAAAGTTCTCGCAAGTTAGTTTAATGTGATTTGTCTCTTTACTTGCAGCTTCGGTTGTAAAGACAGAAGTTAAGCAGGGCTGGAAAAATATAAACTTGGTACCCGTATGTTCAAATATTCTTTCAACTATCTTTTTCGATAACAGGATTTGCATCCTCAAAAAGTAAGCTTACAATTCTTACAACGATTTTTGTTTTAGAGTTATCAAGAGGCTTCCAAGATCCTATGGGTTATGCAAGAAGTCTAGCAAGATTTGCTGCTGATTTGGGCTCGGAGGCTTGAAAAGTTGCTGCCCCGCCGTGGATGCCAACCGGTGGCTCTTATTGTTCCGCTAATGGTAATATTAGTCCATCCCAACTTGGGATCACTTAGGCTTCAGATTCAAGTTTATCCTATGCTTTCAGACAATTTATGAGATGAACAGTCCATCAACAGTAGAAAATGCCAACCAATGAATTGCCAAGAAGATAATTGCACAGACAAAAATGAAGAAAGTGGAATGAACAGATTGAAGATACAAGAGAAGCCGAAAAAGCTGCCACAATTGCGTCTATTGATTTTTGTGATCAATGAATTTATTAATGGAATTTTAAGTTCTGATTAGTTGTATGATATGATATAAATGATTATTGATATGATATTTTGAATGTAAAATTAATTTTTAATATAATAGAAAAAATTTAAATATTTGATTTGCTATTTGTTTTTAGAGACACTAATGGTGGCAGCATAAGTGTTTTCTTTTTATTTATGGAATTTGGCTTTCTAATTTATGTGTGTTCAATACGTTGGGTGTCATGTGTAGCTATGATATATATCATTTCTTCATAAACATATGTGTGCTTATGAAAGTGTATATATTTATTATTTATGGTAATTGTTTTTGATAAAATGTGTATTAGATTTTGTTTTAGGGTGTTTATGTGTTGTTAACTTTTATTAAAAAAATATGCAATGACTATTATAACTTTTTTTAAGAAAAATTATTTGTTTTCTTATATAATAAATATTACAAAGATAAATCAAAATACATTGAATTAAACCCAAGTGACCATTATTCCAGTCTTGATGAAATATATTTTAATTAGCATCATGTTGAATTCTCTATGTTGTTTTCTGTAGTTAAATTTATTGAGCTTATATATTATGCATACGTCTTTCGTAATAAATATATTATTCATGCACAATTTTACAATAGCACACAACCAACTTCATGGTAAATATTTATTTATTAATTATAATTATGCTATAGGTGAAACACCTAAATATTAAGTAGTTGACACAAAGCATACAAGTTGTTGAGTAATATTAGCACATATATGTTTTCTTCAATATGCATATGCTGAATGTATAACTTGTCTTTGATAATTGTTTATGCAATTATAATAGTATAAAAGGATTAATTATTTACAGTAACCGTAATAGTAATCAGTGCCTAATGATTTATTAGTTCCCAGTTTTCAATTGAGGGTTTTCAGTTATTATTCATGGTTTTTGTGCACAGAGAACGAAAGAAAAGAAGAAGAAATGAGTGACACTATGTGAGGAGACAACAAAAGGAGATAGTCCTAAAAAAATACTATCGATTTATTATTGTTATTATTATTATTATTATTATTATTATTATTGTTCGAATTGGAATAATTCAAACAACAATTGCAAAGGAAAAGTAAAATCAAAAGGATTTTCTTATTATCGCCCAAAGAAATACAAATACCAAATAACAGAGAAGAAATGACACCTTTACAAACGGACGCAATTTAAAAACTATTGAATAACATCATGGAAATAATAATAATAATAATAATAATAATAATAATAATAATAATAATAATAATAAATACTTTGAATCAGGATTAATAATTTTTAACACTCCCCCTTGATTCAAAGTTGGTAACATAAAGGCGTGCGCGAAGTGCTTAGAATCTTGCAACAGGCAATGGTTTTGTGAATAGATCGGCAAGTTGGGCTGATGTGTTGCACAATATAGGATGCACACTTCCTGCAGTTACCAAATCACGAATGAAGTGATGCTTTATTTCTATATGCTTTGTCCGGCCATGCATAATTGGATTTTTGGCAATTGCCACAGCTGATGAACTATCACAATATATCACAGTTGGTTCTTTCTGCCGTGATTTAGATCTTCAAGGATTCTTCTTAACTAGACTGTTTGGCATGCAACAGTTGCAGTGGCTACATACTCGGCCTCTGCAGATGACAAGGCAACAGTTGATTGTTTGTTAGAAAGCCATGACACTGGACCTGCTCCGAAACTGAAACAATTTCCGGAGGTACTTTTCCTGTCATCGGGGGATCCTGCCCAATCACTATCGGTGAATCCTTCAAGAATGAAATCCTTACTTTGAGTATACCATATCCCATAGTCTCGTGTACCAGCAAGATAACGTAAGATCCGTTTTGCTGCACCGTAGTGTTGTTTGCTTGGACGATACATAAATCTGGAAACTAATCCAACGGGAAATGCAATGTCAGGTCGCGTATGGGTTAAATAAATTAACCTTCCTACCAAGCTCCTGAATTTGTTTGCATCTGCCAAACCAGTTTCATCATTATTACTCAATTTTTCATTTGGATTCATCGGAGTAGAAGCAGCGATACATTGGTCCATGTCAAGTAGCTTGAGCACATCAGACAAATATTTTCTTTGAGAAACAAACACACCTTCTGGAACTTGCTTGATTTCCAGCCCAAGAAAAAATGTAATTTTCCCAAATCAGTCATCTCAAAATGATTCATCATAATTCTTTTGAATTCATCAACTGATGCTGTAGGAGTACCTGTATATATAATGTCATCAACATAAATGCTGATGATGACAATTTTCCCGAGACTTTCTTTCTTTATATACAACGTCGGTTCGTTCAAACTTCTTTCAAATCCATTTGATTGGAGAAATTCATATATCTTGTTGTACCAAGCTCTTGGCGCTTGCTTGAGTCCATAAAGAGCTTTGTTCAAGCGATATACTTTATCTTTCTCCCCCTGCACAATAAATCCTTCGGGTTGTTGTACATAAACTTCTTCTTTTAGATCTCCATTGAGAAAGGCAGATTTTACATCAAATTGATATATCACCCACTGATGGTGAGCAACCAAGGAAAGAAGAACCCGTATTGTATCAAATCTCGCCACAAGAGCAAATGTTTCATCAAAATCAATGCCGTGTTCTTGAGTAAATCCTCTCGCCACTAGTCTTGCCTTGTGCTTCTACACACTACCATCAGAATGATATTTAGTCTTAAATAGCCATTTCAAGCTGATTGTTTTTTTTTAATTGGAAAATCTACCAATTCCCATGTCTGGTTTCTCTCAATGGCCATTATTTCTTCTTCCATTGCCTTTTTCCAAACTTCATTATGCAAGGCTTCCTCTACGGTAGTAGGTTCTCCAACAAAGAATGCAAATGTGGATGCATATATATCATTAAGAGACCTTTGTTTGTTTTCCAGGAAAACAGGTGATGAGGAATCGGATGATGAAGAAGGAGTAGAAGAGCGGTACACTGCTGGACCTGTCGTTGCTGCTATAGCTGTTGTCGGTGCTGCTGGCGTTGTTGTTGTATCTGCTGCTGCTGCTGAGATTACATGATTTTCTTGAACTATAAATTCCTCATTTTCCTTATTGTTGTTGGATAGCTCTATCTCAGCCTCTGAACATAAACTTGGCTTCGATTTTTCTACCATTAAATCCCAAGTTTGTTTTTCATCGAACTTAACATCTCTACTAACAATTAATTTCTTGTCCTCGGGATCAAATAAGCGATAAGCCTTTGAGTGTGTGCAATATCCGACAAAGATACATTTTTTTGCTTTCTGTTCGAGCTTATGCCTCCCAGCAGCCACCAAAACATAACAAACACAACCGAAGACCCTTAGATGATTCACAGAAGGCTTGTATCCATACCATGCCTCAAAAGGTGTTTGATTCCATACGGCTTTAGTTGGAGATATGTTGGCCAAATAAACTGCTGTTGCAACTCCCTCAGCCCAAAAATAATCCGAGAGACCTTTCGATTTAATCATAGACTGAGCCATTTCAACAATAGTGCGATTTTTCCTTTCAGCGACGCCGTTCTGCTGTGGCGTGTATGGAGCTGTTAATTCATGTCTGATTCCATGCTTGTCACAAAATGTAGTGAATTCTTTAGAAAGAAATTCTCCTCCTCGATCAGATCTTAATATTTTCAATTTACAATCACTGTCTTTCAGCTAAGGCTTTGAATTTCTTAAAGCAATCAAATACTTCGGACTTTAGCTTCAAAAAATAAACCCAACTCATGCGCGAAAAGTCATCTGTAAATAACAAAAAATACTTACTTCCAGAATGAGATTCTGTTTTCATTGGCCCGCAAACATCTGCATGAACAAGCTCAAGTCGATTTGCTGCCCTTCTAGCCTTTCCGACAGGAAATGATTGTCTGCTTTGCTTGCCGAGAGCGCAGCCCTCGCAAACGTTGTTTGAATCATGAATACACGGGAGTCCCTCCACCATATACTTCTGTTCTAAGAGTTGAAGTCCTTTAATGTGAAGATGATCATATCTTTCATGCCATAATGTAGAGTTATCAACTTCACCATTCACTCGAGCTTGGACGCTAGAGAATTCAATAGGAAACATCCTATTATTTGACATATTGATTGAGAAAATTTCTGATGTTCCTTTTTTTATACAACATGATCCATTCTGAAACACAACTAAATATCCATCGTCTACAAGTTGTCCAATGCTTATCAAGTTGTGCGCAAGTCCAGGCACATAATGTACATCTTTAATTAATTTTTTCTTACCACCAACCTGCAACTTCACAACTCCTTTTCCTTCAACATGTAGAATTTTGTCATCACCAAGCCTAACTTGAGATCGAAATGATTCATCCAAATCCTTGAATTTTCCTTTCTCTCCTGTTAAATGATTCGAGCACGCACTATCCAAATACCACACTTCCTCATACAGTTTGTCCCCACTCACATAGGTCATAAATAAAAATTCATCTTGATAATTCTCTTCTTCAGCAGCGTAGCCTGGCTTGCTTTGCTCCAGCAATCATCCTCCTTATGTCCAATCTTTTTACAGAATGTACATTGTACAAAACTTCGTTGATTCCTACTGCGTCCACGACCTCGAAAGAAGCCTCTTCCTCTTGCACGATTTGGGAATGAACCATTGTGTGTTTCTTGAACTTGAAATGCATTATCTTCATCATCACCATTGCAGCGGTTGATTCTCACTTCATGTGCTTGCAGTGAACCCATCAACTCATCGACCATGAAAGATTTAAGATCTTTCGACTCTTCTATAGCTGCTACTACATGATCGAATTTAGGGGTAAGGCTTCTCAGAATTTTTGCAAAAATTACTTCCTCTTTAATCTCCTCCCCATAGGAACGCATTTGACTCGTAATTGAGGAAACTCGAGTCATGTACTCTTGCACAGTTTCACTTCTCTTCATACTTGCGGTTTCAAACTCTCTTCTGAGTGATTGTAGTTTGACCGTAATGACCTTGGCAGAGCCTTGAAACTCTAATTTCAATATATCCCACGCCGCCGAGGTTGCTGCTGCAATCCTTGGGAAAATCGATTCATCGATTGCCTGTTGAACAAAGAAAAGGGCTTTTGCATCTTTTTTTTTTTTTTTGTTTTCCTTTGCTTCTCCCTCGTTTGAACCTGATGCTGGTATGCCATGCTCGACAAAATCCCATAGATCTTGAAACTTGAACAATGTTTTCATTTTGATGCTTCAATATTCATATGCTTCACCTTTAAATATTGGAATTTGAGGCTGCGAAGCACTGCTGGATCCGCTAGATGTCGCCATCACAAACCTGGCTCTGATACCACAGTGTTGGAATTGGAATAATTCAAACAACAATTGCAAAGGAAAAGTAAAATCAAAAGGATTTTTTTATTATACTGTACAATATACCACCGTCCAAAGAAATACAAACACCAAAGAACAGAGAAGAAACTGACACCTTTACAAACGGACGCAATTTGAAAACAATTGAATAACATCATAGAAACAATAATAATAATAATAATAATAATAATAATAATAATCATAATAATAATCATAATAATAATAATAATAATAATAATAATAATAAACACTTTGAATCAGGATTAATAATTTTTAACAATTATTTGTAACATGGTTTTGGGCTTTGAAACCGGTGATTGGGTCCGTATGTATTTTTGTAAACAGGAAATCGACAGTTGAAACAAAGTGTGGTCCTATAGCAACACCACTGCCTAACAAGAAATTATTGACAGCCATTCTTACCAGCTGCAAAAGTATGTGTTTTTACTGATATTGTTTGTGGGCTCTCTTTGTATCATATTTTATTGAAAGAATCATATTTGTGTGTGTGTATATATATATATATTTTATTTCTGTTGCATGTTGAATGTTTATGGGGCGTTTTCTAGTCCAGTGGACATCTTAGATGTGGGTCTTGTGGACATACTCTAGGCTGACATTATATGGTTGTTTGATGCTGACGATGGTTTCAGATTGCAGGTACCTGATTATTATAATGTCGTAAAGCAGCCAATTGACTTTCCAACTATTCGAAAGAAGCTTCAGAAAAGCTGTTACAAGTCCTTGGAAGATTTGGAGGCTAATTGATTCCATAGCTTATTATAATCACTTCGCTGCTGTGACTGTAACTGATAATGAAATTACTGTTATTTCCACTTCTTTGATATCTCAGGCTGATGTTCAATTACTCTGTTCCAATGCAATGTTGTTTAATGGGCCTGACACTGTCTACCATAAACAGGTGTACAGCCTCTCGTATGGGTTAGGTCTATTTAAGATTTAGGGAATCCATGGTTGATACTACATTTTCTATTCTATTTCTTAAAGTTGTGCAATGCTATGAGTAATAATCGAATGATTGTATTTAGGGGCTTGCCATCCAAAATCTGGCCAATGAAGAGTTTGGAAAGCTTAAAAATGTTGAGGGTAAAGATGAAGTATTGGACAAGGATAATGATAAGGAGAACGAGAATGCTCAATCGATCGAATTGCAATTGTAGAAAATAGATCACTGGGTCCTACTGAACATAATCAGGGAACAAGCTCTGTGGCTTATAATTTAAGAAAAGGGCCGGAATTGTCCTACTCTTACAGTAAAGAACAATCTGAAAGCTCCACCAGTTCATTGGCTTATAGTTGGAACAAAGAATTCCCAGGTTTGTTAGAGTAAAATTATATTGCCACTTCTGAACTTGACATTTTCTCATCAACTGCGCACGAATTAGGCTGGTGTGGTTGTCTGTTACTTCCAGATTCGGTTGTAAGAGCAGATGTTAAGCAGGGCCGGAGAAACATGGCTGTAGATTTGACCCGCCGTGGCACATACACGCAGCCGTGTCCCCATTCCTCTCCTCCCACTTACTTAACCAACCTTGCCAAGGAGACATACAGGTATGTTCTAATATTCTTTCAACTAACGTTGTGGATAATATGTTTTTTTATCACAAGAATCAATCTTACAATTTGTACTGTGATTTTTCTTTGTGTTTCCACTACAAAGAAAAAATCATTTTTGTAACAAAATATTTGTGTCTCTAAATCTACTTTTTCCGTTACCAATGACATTAGAGACGGAATTAGGAATGGAATTACGTTAGCTACGTGAACTTCAGGGACGGAATTCCGTTACAAATATATTATTTTTTTGTAGTGTTCAGAGCTCATCGGATAATATTAGTGCCACATATATAATGTTAGGAGTTGACGTGTTCACATACATCATACTGACTGTCCTATTAGTGTCCACATATATAATATTTATGGATAAATAGTCATTTTAGTCCTCCTCTGAATTCCTTATCATTTTAGGGTCCTAACGAGTCACGTGCCACTAACAATACGGCCATGTGTATGAACACTTAAACTTTGGCAGGTCATGAGGTGCCACATATGTAGTTCCAATTATTTCTATACAAGATCCCGTTAGAGTCCTAAAATAATAAAGTAATCACCTAATAAAAAAATAGTTACCCTAATTATGTTGACAATTCAGATTTATATATCGATTGAATATAAAAAGAATAACAAAAAAGATTCAAAGTTATGTTTATATCAATCTTTTTAGTACAAACATGATTACTAATATGATATATATCAATAAGTATTATAGACATTATGTAAAAATTAAATTAAAAATATATATTGTATATAATGTTAGTATTAATTTATACTACCAAATTGTTATACTAATGTTAATATGTTTAAAAAACAATATCCTCGTTTCAACATCCATGTATGACAGCAAATTCTTTCCAAACTGCAATGTGTTTTCATTAATACTAACTGTGGGTTAGTTTAGTAAGGGCTTAAAAAATTAGGCTGATAGGTTTGTCTCTTTACTTGTAGCTTCGATTGTAAGGGAGGATTTTAAGCAGGGTCCGAGAAAAATAGTTGTGGATGTACGTTTCAATATTCTTTGGACTAAGTTTGTCGATAACAAGAGATGTTTAGTAAGAAAATAAGCTTACAATTCGAACTATGATGTTACAATTGCACTATGATTTGTATTTCTGAGCTCTCAGGAAAGTTGCTTAGAATAAAATTGATGTTGATTTGCAAATGCGGATGGTATATGATCCAAGTTGGCTAGGTGAACCCCTGGCGCCGAGATGTGCTGTTCTAATGACTGCACAGCAGAGCACAGCACCGAATGTGCACTATCTCCTTGCCCTTGATTCGATGGACCATATGTATAACCGTTAGATCCGATAATGTATATATTATGTGGTTTTGTCCCATATTGAGTGTTTTAAAGTAACATTATCCCACATTTCTTGTGGTGACAAATTAGCCATAAGACTCTCTCTATAAATTGGTTGCCTTGGGTTGGTTCTTATGACACACCAAAATTAGTCAAGTGGCATTTCCATATATAGTTGTGGTTACTTGTTTTGCTTGAGGGCTCTTGGGAGATTGAGGTTTGTGGGCTTTAGAATTGTTATTCGAGCTTATTTTGTATTCTCTTTTGATAGTGAAATTTTCTTTCGCCTTTACCCGTGGATGTACAAGATGACCGAACCGCATATATTCTTGTATTCTTAAATTTCTTGTTCTTACTTTTGTCATTGTTTAGGTTCTAAAAATATTTGTTTGGGCAATATTCCTAAGAAATTTGTATCAGAGCCCTTATTATATTTGTCGAAATCTTTTATTACCACACAATGACAATCACAAGGACGGTAATGGAAACGTTTGACAGAAATATAAACTTTGGGATATGGTAGCTCATGGTCCAAGATGAAGTTGACTTGGCTATCCAGGGCATTGAAAAAATGCCTAAGGATATGGAGAAGTCCAAATTTTTGGAGCGGGATAAGAAGGCCCGTTCGAGCATTATCTTAAAAATCTCTGATGAGGTTTTGCGGAAGGTTGCTATGGAGACCTTGGCTAAGGCAATTTAGGATAAGCTTAACGCTTTATACATGAAGATGTCTATTGAGAATCATCTATACCTAAAGCAAAGCCTTTATATGCTTCGAATGGCGGAAGATACATCATTGCTCTCCCATCTTGATAATTTTGATTCAATTATTATGGATTTGGAAAATATTGATGCTAAGATAGATAATATGGATATGGCGTTTCTACTTTTGTGCTCTCACTACCCCATGCTACTTTTTTGGTCATTACCCCCAATATTTTAAGAATGTTCATGATACAATAATTTATGTGAAAGAATTTATCTCACTTGTGTCGTCTCTCATGACCCGTATTATTTGGCATTTCTAGATGAGAAGAAAAGTTGGAGTTTGTTTTGTCAAACGGTCTTTGCACAAGAAGGTTGTCCATATCCAGAATTAGAGAAAATGGGTAAGAATATTGCCAAAAGTTGTAGAGGGCTTCCTGTAGAAATTTTTGTGATTGGTGGCTTACTTGCAAACGTAAACTTGATGAGAGAATATTGGGAATTCGTTGCGGATAATTTAAGTGCACTAAATTATGTTTCCTATTCATTTAAGCTACACTCACTTTCCTATTCATCTCAAATTATGTTTCCTCTATATGAGTCTTCGACGAAGATGCGAAGATTAACATCTCTCAACTTATTAAGTCGTGGGTTGCTCAAGGACTGATTAAGGCTGTCGATGATAAAAGTTTGGAAGAGATTGGCGAGGAGTAAATGAAAGATCTTATGGTCAGAAATTTGATTTTCATTCGTGAAAGGTTGAATACTAGCAGGAAAATAATAAGTTGAGGGATTCATAATCTTTTCCGTGACTTATGCTTAAGAGAATCCAAAAAAGAATCATTTATTTATTCCCCAAAAGAACAACGTGCTCGGGCATATTATCCAAACAGAAAATGTTTCCTTTGCAGTTAATGGATATAAACCAATGGCGTATCAAATCTCCTCAAACTTGCTCTTATCTCTCCAACAACGTCGCGAGTAAATCATTTGGCTTGTAGCTCGTGTGAACATATGTACTCACATACAACGGAAATAAGATCAGCGAGTGTAATGGATGCTATTTCTTATGGTTCGTGGTATGAACTTGTGCAATCTACACAAGCGAGGTATATTTCGGTAAACCTCTTTCTTGATGATGTCAAATTTGTTTTCCCATCCATGATATATTTTCTCTGGAACCTTCAAACTTTGGTTGTTGAAGTTTAGGAGGCACATCAAGTAGTCCTACCACGTGAAATATGGGAGTTGCCACAACTCAGGCATCTCGACATTTTATATGCTCTTTTTCCCGATCCTGGAATTGAGGAAGATTTCATTGTCCTGAACAATCTTCAAACAATCTCGTACATGCAAAATTTTAAGTGTACGAAGGAAATCCTTGATAGAATCCCTAACATTAAGAAACTTGGCATTCATCTTGATGGTTGGATGGAACTCAAGTATGAACGCTTTGATTGAAGAGGTATGTCAGATATCGCAGGAGTAATCCAGAAAATTAAATACTTGTAATTATCATCACAATTTTTTTAAAACATTGTTTTAATTTTCCCTTTTTTTTTTTATTGATTCTCTTGAAAACAGGTTTCATTTCAGTGTTGATTATAGTGAATAATATCATGAGTTTATCCTTTTAAATTTGTACATCACTAGACTTATCATCTTCATGTTTCCTATATGTTTAGGCTCATCAACTTCATTTTGGCCTCTACCTTGGGATTCATCATCTTCTTCATCTTCCGACTCATCATTTTTTTTACGTGTTGCCATGAAATCATTATTAATAACATAAATAAAAATCTTCTTTGTTCTTGTTAGTATTTCTTCCGTGCATATTTTCTCTGCCTATTTTACTAATATCAAGTTAATGGAGCATGCTTTTACCAGAATCTACATCCAACAAGTAGAGATTTTTTATTATTTCCAGTATTCAATACTATGTATCCTTCAGACGGATAATATGCCTTCAATAAGGACAGTTGCACCTACCTTTTATTCATCACTTCCAGCTGCTCATTATCATAATGCAGCAAACTCAGTGCTGCCAATGTCGAGTACCAAAATGTACACATAAATAAAAATCTTGAGTGTCCTCGGTTCAAACAGCATTTCCAGGCAACGGAGGTTTCTGCTCCAAATCTCAAAGCTCCCAGCTCACACTATTGGAGCGTCTCCCATAACACTGAGGATCTATCAACATTCTTGAGTCGTTTAGCAAGTGTGGATCTATCAACATTCTTGGCCTGAATGTTGCCTATAGCATGGAGAAATCGACGAAAAAGAGCCATGTTGATGGTATCCAACCTCAGACTAACAAGAACAGGTCACTGAAGAAGCTTGATACAAAAGGTTTGTCCAATATGGAATTATGCAAACTTCTAATGAAAAAGGCGAAGATGGCACTAGTAGTGCAAACTTCTAAACAAAGGCAGGCTGGCCGGCAAAAGAATCTCTGGATGGGTAAAGTTGGATGAGACTTATGTACTTCTCATTACAAAGTGCATGCCAACAGTTACCCGATCAAGGAGAAATGACAAGACCAAGATAAATGATTAAGTGATAGAATTATTAAGTGATGGGTCAATTAGATAAGACAATATGATGAATAAATAGGGAGATGGCAATGGGACATTGTTTATTACTTAGATAAATGTTAAGTTAAAATTGTGGGAATTATAACAGTTGTATAGCTTGTGTAACCATAGCTCTTCTATACTTGCATGACATTTTTTTTGTTTAACCCGAGAGACACACAACATAGGCACCCACTCGGGATTGAACCTGAGACATTGCCCTGAAGCGAGGCATGTCTCACGCTATGATCTACAAAGGCTTCGCTCGCGTGACTTAGAACTCATGTGAAATTTTTTTTATTTTTTATTTTTATTGTCACGTATATTTTACAATTTTTTTATAACTATTTTTAAAGAAATATTAATTTTTTTTTGTAGTAAATTCTTTATTAATAACATACAAATGTGTAGGGTTGACATTGTTCGGTAATTTTTTTATGAAAAATTCTATGATATATTATTAATATAAATGAAATAGTTTTGTAGGTATAATTTAAAAATAAAAAGAATGAACACACTTACTATATTATATATTCAAATATAAAATAATCATATATCTTTTTTGTTTTTTTGTTATTGAGAAAAACAATATTTAAAATAAATTATATATATATAGTAAGTCAATTTCATCGTTATAGTATCTTTTCAAAATAATTGCAAGTAATAAATAATTATAAAAGTGGATTCATATATATCAATCAAAAATTGAATTAGTTACTAGACTTGTTTATATTTTTTTCTTATTTTATTATTATTTTTAATAAAAAAAAACTTGACGTGTCACTGTGACACGAGGGACGTGGTGCATTGCACCAGACAGAAATTCCAAACACCAAACCCCTCACTTTCTATATAAAACAAAATACACTCTGACAAACTGTTCTAATTGTTTACCCCTTCTTCCCGTTGCTTAACTATCAATATCTGCAGTGCATCCGTCTCAGCCTTCTCTTTTCTTCAAGCGAAATTGTATGTTTCTTCCTCCTATTTGTTTTCCGCCAAAGTTTAGATTCTTGTTGTTTAGTTTTGAAGTCACCTAACTTTTAAATTTATTTTTTTAGATGAAACTAATGCAAATGTTAAAAGTTCAAATGAGAATTGGTTATTTGATGGAGTACACAATGAAATAAAATAGGCAAAATATGTTTTAATTGAATTACTTTAGCATCATAAAGGTAACTTGTACTAATTTCTTATTTGTTCATTTATTATTATTATTATTATTATTATTATTATTGTTATTATTATGTCTGATTTATTCTCTCATTATAATTAAGATTTACAATAATTTGGGTAATCCCCTTTAGTAAGTTAATATTATCAATAATGACAATTCTAGTTTTGTCCCACGGAATAGTATAATTAAATAACTAAGTTAATTCTCAAATTAGATATCATTTACAATAGTTTGCATATCTAAGTTTTAAATGCCTTAGTTTTATTATCCCTCAAGATACTTGACCTTTTTATTAGTTAACTAAATGGGACAATGGGACTTTGTTTATTAGTTAACTAAATGTTATGTAACTTAAAATGTGTTGGAATACTCACTATGTACCGCTATTGCAACGATAGCTCTTTTAAAGACTCTGTTTATGCTAATAAATAAGGATCAAATGTGTGTGTTTTTTGGAATATAATACGAATTCCAGGTTCATTTTCCATTTTTCTACTTGCGTGACATAGAGCTTATGTGAAGACAAAGTGTTGTGTCCAGCTTCCCATCTATCCTTCAATTTTACACTTAGCATTTACTATTTTTAGATGTAATTGTATTGCATTCATTAGATGTTAATGAATGCCATCCTCTTCATTTGGCGTCGTGATATGAATCGTTGCCTTTATAGGGGTTGTTTAAGTTGACTTGAAGAATTTAGTTAGAAATTATGGAAATGAATGTACTACTAAATGGATCACAGTAAACCAACTTCTCTATTTCAATCTTTTTAGGTTCCCTATGTTTCAACCAATTAAATGATGAGATGTGCATTGACATTGTAGATAGACAATATGCATAGTATTTAGATTTGTTTATAGTTTTTAGATTCTAACTTTATTACTTAATCTATAAAAACATAAATTATATTTAATCTTAACCTTTATTCACTTTCTTATTAGTTGACATTCTTATTCTTATAAAAATATATTTTATATTTACAAAAATATCACACTCAAAG